GGGGTGGAGATCGTCTGGACCAGCTGATTTAAATACGTCCAGTCCCTCCAGAAGTTCCCTGACTAGATCCTCCCTGACCCTTGGCCTAGGTGCGCCTCCCCTGGGGCCTGAGGGGGTCCCGGTGGGGGGGCTGATTTTGTCCCTGCTCAGGAAAATGGAGGCAAAGAAGTTGTTAAATAAGTTAGCTTTGTCGTCTGGTGTGATGACCAGATTTCGTAGCATGTCTTGCAGGGGCCCCATGTTACCTGGTACCCTCTTTTTGCCCCCTATGTATTTAAAAAAGGACTTCTTGTTGTCCTTGATCTGGGAAGCTAGTCCCAGTTCCATCTCCGCCTTGGCCTTCCTGACTGCCCTCTGCAGCCTCCAGCAACCGCAGTATAGTCCTCCCTGGTGATGGCCCCTCCCTGCTATTGGGTGTACGCCTCGCTTTTAGTTAGGAGACATTCCTGGATGCTTTTGGTGAGCCATGGGGGCTTTTGTGCCCTCCTGCCCCCTTTGATCCATGTTGGGATTACCTCCCTTTGGGCTTAACCTGAAACTTACTTTTGCTGTTTCCTCTGGTGGCCAAGAACTGCTGTTCCTAAAGTCTTGGGAAAGATTTTTACCTGAAAGAGTGGCCTTCTTGCACATTCACAAGTAACCATTGTTCATTAAAAACTTTGAAGTGGCATGAGGTCAACAGAAACCAACAAACATGTATCATCTGCTATTTGAAATCCTAAGTACTTCTACATAATTGAAGTTCATCACTGAAAATTCTCCAGCAATTCTTATATTATGCACATGGGTGCCCATTTTATTTTCCCATCTTCGGACATTACCATTTGCTCTTGCATGTGACCTTAGGGTCCCTCTTGCTGGGATGATACTGGCTCCAGGGAAGAATGGATCGCTTACTTTTTTCCAGAAAAAGCTGAAGCAAGCACACAGGTGATTTGATTTCTGGAGTATCTTGTATTCAAAATAAATAATGCATTCAGAGACAGTTAGCATTAAATTCTGTTTTTGTAAGGCCTTTGCACTGCAGCTGGGTAACTAGGTCAGCAACACTCAACTTCCTAAGCAGGGCCAGCTCAGCCTCAGCCTACTGACTGGATCTAGGGTTGCTTTTAAGGAGCTGTTGCAGCACCTGACCCCTTCTCTACAACAAACTGGTTGAGTCTGTGAGTAGCTCTTGCCCATGTGTCTTTCCTGGTGTCTGCTTCATTATCTCTGCCCATGCACTCAGTCCCTGAACCTCGGGACTGTGTTTTGACCTCAGCTCATTTTTCTAACATCTGCTTCTGGTAACCCCTCTGTTTTGGCATGTGAATCCTGGTTTGATCTCAGTTTGCCTGGTTTGAACTTAACTTTGACTATGGATGCTGGCCCCAGGTCTAACCAGTAGGCCTAACACACCTGTAAACCCTGACAACTTGGCTGCTGAAACATTTAAGGCATTTTCCTTCACATTATGGATGTGTACTTCTGCGTCTCTGGCGTGGAGCCTAGAATACCCCAGTAGTGCTCAGGGCATGGGTGCAATGCTTATAAATAATTTAACTTGTATGTATGTATTTAAACGTGATACTTCCTCTGACATAAACTTAGCAACACCTAAATGTGTATATAGTTGGGTATATGTTACACAGATATAGATACTAATCCAGCTACAAATACATACATACATACAGTACAACTCAGATCATTCATATCTGGCTGGTTCATAATGGGCTTAGTTTGTAGTGCATTGTTGAATTAAAAATTAGCTGCTCAGCTGTTTGCTGTGGCTTTTACTTCAAAGGGTGACACTTCTTTGATCAGGTATCCTGCACAGCTGGTTGGGAGCACCCTTTGAAAAAAAAGTTGCAGTAAATGACTGAAATGCCTATGGGGTCCTGCCCAGCTGTTTGCTGCATCTACACCCCCCCCCCCCC